TCCCCTAGATCCTCTTTCATTGTCTAGTTATTCCTGGGTGTGTGTCTGTCCAAGGAAACCTTCCTGATACTGCCACAGAGGGAGTTTTCATTTAGAAATTACATTTCCATTTTTCTATTGAGCCTGATGCTTTAACTACCTCTTTTTGTCACAGCAGCAACTTGGAAAATGCTAATGGACTCACTGCTGCCCTAGAGTGTGGAATAGCCCAGCTTGGCCCCAGGCAAAACCAAGAAGCTGCTAACATTTGTCTTCAGTTCTTTACTTTTCTCTCTTCCAGCATGTACCACCTCTGCTGTTTCATTCTGCTCACAAAACTTAGCTCTGGGAAACCCAGCTTATTCATAGCTTGGTTTGCCTTGAGGTTGGTAGGCTGTCCCCTGAGTGTTCGCCTCATTTTTGACTGGAAAACCAAAGGGTTTATAGCAGGTCCAAGGAGCTCTGTTTGTTCCCTTCAAGTGTCTAGTTTTGTTTTAAATTACAATTTTAATAAATACTGCATTGATTTGATTACTGTTTTCTTTATACTATATACTCAAGAAGAGTGGATGTGTTTTTGTCTTTAGCCTTGTAACTCAGCACCTAGCAAAGTGCCTCATCCGCTGGAATTCACGAGCAGTGATGAATGTACGTTTGTTCAGCACTGTGTACATGTACATATAAATAGGGTCATAAATAATTGTGGGCTAATGGGAAGGTGTTTTATGAGTTGGAGGGAAGCATCACCCTGTAGTTTCCCAATGATTTAACCCTCGCTCTGCCCCACGGCTGCCCTCTTCTGTTTCTGAGCTGGGCCTTCCTTGTCCTTGGAGAAGGGCAGAAGGAAAGGCGGGAGAGTGGGCAGGAGGAGTGCAGTGTGGCCAGGGAAGGAAGCACCTTCGGGGAAGGCCCACGGGCAGGCTTGTTGAAGACCAACACCCGGGAGGAGGGGCTGCCATGGGAAGTGCTCCAGGCTGCAGCTCGAGACCTGGAGGGCACAGAAATGGGGAATTCAGACAAGATCGCTGGATTTACTCCTGGCCAGGTGGCCATAACAAAGCACCAGGGACTGGGTGGATTAAGCAGCAGAACTGTATCTTCTCCCAGCCCTGGAGGCTGAAGTCCAACATCAAGCTGTTATCAGGCTTGGCTTCTTCTAAAGCCTCTCTCCTGGGCTTTGGGTGGCTGTCATCTCTCCACCTCACATGATCTTCTCTGGACGTGCTGTGTCCTAATCTTACTAAAAATATAGTCACAGCCGGATTGGGGTCTGCTTATAAGGCTGCACTGAACTTAATCATTGCTTGAGGGGCCTTGTCTCTGCATTCTATCATATTCTCAGGCACCAGAGTTTGGGACACCAACAAGTGAATTTGGAGAAACCCAATTCAGCCCATTGCTATCATCTTGTTAGAGCAGGCAGCTCACACAGTTCAGGAGTTAGACAAGCTATATTTAGGACGAGGCACTCTAATTTGGAATTCTGTCTTTACCACCTAAAATCACTTGAATGCGTTCCTTAATTTCTTGCTACCTTAGTTTCCTCTTCTGCTAAGTGGAAATAAAAATAATTATGGCAACAGCGCTGCTTAATGGGGTGATATGCAGAGCACAACATGTGGACATAGCAAGTACCTAATGACTGTCAGTTCTGGTAGCAGCTATTATTTTATTATCATTGTTAGTATTCTAACTATTCCTCTCCAGCAAGAAGGGATTAATTGAAATGTCCTCCTACTTCTCAGAACTGTGGTGAGCCTTGCATGAAGGACGTGTGTGGAGAACCTGCGTACTGCTAGGTGCAGGGCAACTTCTCAAAATATTGGTTGTGGTCACATCTTCCTGGGCCAAGAACACAGTTTCCCAAAGCACTGGATCTCCCTTTCATAGGTCTGATTAGGACCTGGGGTCACAACACTGTCTCTCTATTTAATAAGATGCAAATTTTCTTGTTGGGGGAGATTTAGAGGGAAAAGCTATCTGTTTTATCCAGGGACTCGTATTTCAATTATCAAAACCTGAAACAAAGCCACACTGGCGAACACACAACTGATAGAATTGTTCAGCCACAGAGAGCTGGGCCCTGTGTTCTGAATCACACAGTGAGGAAATGCTCAGGTTCACGTGGGTGATTAACCATTAGATATCTTGTCAGGCTTTGACAAGCTCTCTTTCTGTTTCTCTATGCCTTTCACTGCATCTGGTGTAATTAAGAAATGGTGCTGAGTTCTTGTCATCCACCATTAAGGACTAGTCACAGATAGTTTCATAACATCTGCTTCTTGCAACCTTCTAATTATCCATAAAAATCTGGCAGAGGGACCTGACAGTTTATCGAGAACAGAGAACATGAATACAAAATAGGATGCTTTGCTTCTGGAGGTAGAGAGAAGGTACAAAATAGGTGCTTTCTAACCTCTTATTTTGCATGCAGCTACGCTGTGGGTTCAGATCAGACGAGGCAAATGTCTTCTCAATAAAAATTCAGTATTAAGGTACATCTTCGGACAAGAGTGTGAGTTGGAGAGAGGTAGTGGAGCTGTGCCAGTCTGCCGTCCATCGCTGCCCCGTTGCTGTCCCTCCCATGCACTCTGACACAGCCCCTGCCCTGCCCCCTGCAGGCTTTGAGCTGTCTGGACCCTGATGGGAAACCTGGAGGGTCCTGACTGGGAGCATGCTCGCCTCCAGCAAGGCGGACTCTGGGCTCCTCTTGCTTTTTCTTGCTGAGGAGGCATCTTTCATCCAGCACCTCACCTGACTTTCTAACTCACCGGCTCCTCCGAGTCTGTTAATGCCTGTTTTCGGACCCATGGGTGGTTCTGCGCTTGGTTCTGAATGCACAGATGCTTGCCTCACCCTTCGGGGCTGGACCTCTACTTTGTCCAGCCGGGTCCTCTGCATTTTGTAATATCAAGGCTATGACCTCATAGCCTTGCCTCAGCTCCCCTGGTCCTGCTATCTTTCATTTTCTCTGTGTTGTAGGAAACAGAAAACAAAAGAAAAGCAAACAAAATCAAAAGGAAACTTCCTGTGCCCTCTTAGGTTCAGTAAGTGGGGAGCACAAAGCCAAGTGATAAAAAGGCATTCAGCAGAGAGGAGAAACATTAGACTTAACATGCACAGTCACCCACAAGTGAACGTGACTAAAGTTGGAAATTAGAATTTGGGGCTTCTACGCCCTCGGAACAAAGTGTGGAGAAGAGGGTGGGCAGGGACCGAGGGGCTGGGCCTCGGGTGAGGCTGAGCTGTGGGTGGGAGGCCGGAGGTGCGCGGCTGCAGAGGGTGGTTCACTGGCCTCGTGCCACAGGAGTCATCAGGCGATCAGAGCCCTTCCCGGAGTGGTTCTTTCCCTGGAGTTGGACAGGGGCACCTTTCCCAATGGAGGCCCTGCTACCTTCATGAGGGAACTTTAGGCTCCATTTTAGGCAATGAGGGGAGGGGAAAGGGACTTTTCATGCATCTGTTGTTTCTCAAGGGCCTTCAGCTCCAAATAAGCCCTGTGCCAAACTGGCATATGTGGGGTGGCGAACTCTGGCTTCCTGTTGTGCTGAGGGGAAGAGCAAAGAGGAGAAACCGGGTTCTGAATCCCAGCATGGCCCAGGCACGACTGAGGCAGAGCTTGGAGCCTGTTAAAACGCTGGCTCTTGGGCCCCACCTGCACTACAAGATTCCCAGGCAGCTCTGAGCCCATCGGAGAGCCGCCAGTTCATGAGTGTCTAACAATGTCCAGAACTGGTCTTCAGGCGGCAGGGAGTATATAACAGAGGCCCCTAGGAGGGGTGTAGGAAAGTGTTTGCCATTTCTGGCACGAGTTGGACTCAGAAAGGAAGGAGCTTGGATCTAATTGCAGTAGATAGAGCAGCTCGGCTAAGGGCCAGGCTTCAGGGGCCAAGGGGGTGCGGTGGGTTCTCAGGGTGATGCCGCCAACAGCTGGGTTATAATGCCGTGCGCCATAGCGTCGCAGCAATGAACGTAGTTGATACTACTCTATTATGGAAAGGGGCCCTTCCTTCATTCGAGGTGTTCTTTCAGCAGATAGTCGTGGGGTGAGGGAATGAGAAGAGGAACTCATTCTGTGGCATTTTAGTTTCTCCTTTGGTCTGCTCCTTGTCCCGAGAACTTTCTAGCGCTGGCAATTCCCAGGTGCGCATTCACCAGCCACCACTCTCCACTTTACAGTCACCGGATACCTGCAGGGGCTGCTACGCAGCCAGGCGACAGAGCGGTCTGAGTGGGATAGCCCACCCCTGCTGTCATGTGCAAAAGACCTGGGACTGAGCCCAGCCTGGAGACGACACTCAGGGCGTCAGGCTGCCCACCTCTGGGATGCTTTGCAGGGATGCAGAGGCCGGGGCAGGGCTTCCACCGGAAGCTCTCCTCGGCGAGCTCAGCAGGACAGTGTCCCACGAGCTCTGGCACTGCCACCACAGCCTCCCCCTTGGCCTGGGTACTGTTTCTTGCTTTATTATTTTCCTCATTTGTTCTGCTTCTCCTGAGCACTTGAAACCTTTTTTGTTTTTATTAGCTCTTCAACATTTTCCTTTTTTTCCCACCAGTATTTTCTACCTGTCCTGGAAAACTAGAGTAAACATTAGAAATGTCACTTACCCTGGGAAGAATGTTATTTATTTCTGATTTATGCCATGCTTATTTTTTTAAAGAAAGAAAAACTCTCAAGGCTCCTACACTATGACACACACACTGACTGTAAAGCCAAAAAATGAAAACTTATCTAAAATGATGTGAGTGGGAGGTAGCTGTTCTCCAAGCTAAGGCAAATGTAATGCTGGGTTTCCAAAGGCAAATGTAATGTGCCTCTGGTCCCTTGTTCTGGGAGGGCAAACACTAGGGAAGCTTCTCAACACCCTGACCTGATAGTGAGATTGTAATAATAAATAACACTTCTGTGTGCATAGAATCTCTAGGCATTTGCTAACTCCTCTGCTTGCACCGTGCCAGCTTTCTGTTATTGTGACAAAAAGACCCCCAAACAACAACAAAAAACCCCGAGGAAAATCAGCTTACCCGGAGGACAGTTTTATTTTGGCTTATGGTTTCAGAGGTTCAGTCTGTGGTCAGTTGTCTGAGTTGCTTTTGGGCCCATGGAAAGGCAGAAACATCACGGAGGGAGCCCATGTTGGAGTGAAACTGACCACCTCATGGCACTTGGGAAGCAGAGAGGCAGGAAGGGGAGTGTCCCAGTATCCCCTCAAGGGCACATCCCAGTAACTCAGCTTCCTTCCGCCTGGCCCTCTCCTAAGGGTGCCATTACCTCCCAGGAATGTCCCAGGCTGTCTTTGGGGGGCACCGCAGATCCAAACCACAGCACCTTGTCTAAGCCTCTCAGCAACGTTAAGCGACAGGGTAGGGCAACGGGCCCAAGTGTGGAGCCCAGAGCCAGGGAGAGTCAAGCTCTGCCACTGACAAGCTCTGTGACGTTGACCCGTCTGTTACCCTCTCTCATCCACAGAACTGAAACATCAATCAGACTATATAATGGCCGGAAGCAGTCAATGGTTTAATATACACAAAGCACACAGTGCCCGGCTCTCGGTGAGTGGTTGCCTTATTACCATTATTTCTAGTGGACAGCTAAGAAAATGAGGTCTCAGAGAGGTTGAGCGGTGGCACGGAGACCCACGGCTGAATCAGACAGGCGCCGGGCTGATGTGACCCCTCCTCACCAGGGCGGCCCTGGCTGGCTCCTGCAGGGGGAGCTTCCTGTCTGCAGACTGCCTGGGGCGACTTCCCCTGCTGCTCCGTTTCCGTAGGATCCCACCTGAAGGTTGTCTCAGTGTGACTATGTTTTCTCTACTTACACTTAATCATAGCCACCAGTCTCTTCTCAAAAACAGTTGAGCACAGGGGAAATCTAGGTCGCTGTCTACCCCAAGGTCCACTTCGATACCAGTTCTTCTGGGGAGACGCCTGCCTTCTATTTCCCGTCGCCCCAGCGCCTCCTGGGCTCTGGTAGCGAACGTGTGCAATGCGGGTGCAATCCCCCTACCCTCCACCAGATGTCCCACTCGCCTCCGCTCTTTGACAGGGGCCGGGAAAAGGGAGGGATGGAAAGGGCGGTGAGGGATTGCAGGGAGGAGGGAGGGGGGCTGTGGCAAGCCTTCAGACGCTGCTGCTGGTCTCCAGACGAAAGGTCTTTTCTCACATTTTTTCCCTTTGATGCATCGGTGTCTCTGTCCAGAAAGCCAGCTCAGGTCTGCAATTTTGGAAGCTCCTATTTCTGTCTGACCGAGATTTTCATCCTGGATCTGCTGTCTGCAACCCTCCGTTTTGCCCAAGGGACCCCTCGAGCCACCCTCCCCACTGAGCTCTCTTCATTCAGGGTCTGATTGAAAAGCGGAGACAGGAAGGGCCGGCGCCTCCAGCCCTCCTGTTTCGGAGTCGGGCGTGTTAGAGGCCAGCGCGAGGCCACGGCACCCACTAGCCATCCTGCAGATGTTACCGACTTTGTCCACGTTCGGACTGGCCTGGTAGACGTACTTCCTCCCGATTCTCAAACAGTGGCCCTCCCAGGCTTCTCCTGGGGAGGAGCGAGCGCGACTGGGTGCAGTAACAGGATTTTAGTAGCTGGAACATTTTAAATTCCAAAGTATGTCTCTCGTGTCTCATCCAGGTGGGGAGCTCCCTCCCTCCCTCCCCTCCTCTTTTGCAAGGTCCCACACACGGAGGCTGGGATCAGGAGGAGGATGAGACACGCAGTCTTTCCAGGACACTGCCTCCTGCACCGGGGCTCCCTGGAGCCCTTGGGGCAGTGTCACGGGGGGCCTGGACACCCCTGACGACTAACATAGGCTGGGGGCCCCACACGGACGCAGCACTCCACACAGCAGGAGACCAGTGCCCTGCCTGTAGGTCGTTCTCCTGCAGAGCCCTGCTGTGCATATGAGTGGGATGTCTTCCTCTAGTGCCCGATTTAGAAGTGGAAGTGGGGCTCCTTCCCCACGAAAGGCCTGTATGACAAACGCAGAACACAGTGGTGCAGAGTTCCTGCTTTCTGCACCCTGTCCCGTTGCATGTGTGGCTTTTAATATTCGGAGAGCCTTTGCCAGCGCACGCTTTCTGCTGTAGTGGGAAACCAGAGCCCAGATGTGATGTATTATTGATAGCATTGTAATTTACTCCTCTTGGGTTGTATCTACAGTGTACACCATTAGCACAAAATATTACATTACCAACTGCTGTATGTGTTTGTCTATTCAGGTCTGACTCAATGATATTTGCCTTTCGACTCAATAAAAGATCGTGAATGTAGAAAGCAGGGCAATATTATTTTTTGTTGCTGCTGTTGCACAGGAATGTTGATTGAACCATTTTCTCTGTGCTGTGCTTCGGGAGCCGAGCTTTGCAGTGTGGTTGGGGGGCAGCAGGGCAGGGTGGATGGGGATGGATGGGCAGCTCACTGGGCTCTGGCTCTCCGTGCTGCTGACTGCCCGGCAGGCCGCTTGGGGCAGGAGGCTCAAACCACGCTGCTAAGGGAAAGGTCACACCCTGTGTCCCTGAGCCTCTGGTTCCCACCCCAGGGCTTCCTTCAGCACCTTGCAAGGGGAGCAGTTCTACAGTAATTTCCAGAGCAAGCAGTTCTTGAAACATGCCTGTGGCTTGGCTTCCTAATCCCTTTTTGAGGTTCAGCGTGAATGGGTGGGGGACAGGGACTGGGCTTTAAATCCGCACTATCTGGAAGAAGGCAGGCATTTAGGAGACAAGAGCATCCTGCCTGTTTCCCACCTCAGCCTGTGGACTTCTTCCTTTCCCCAGGGTAGGCTGGGAGAGGCCGCTCCCCGCTCCTGCTTCTGCTCCCCTGGTCACTGGTTCAGGCCTGGTGGGAGCACAGGGTAGGAGTCCATCTCCAAAGCTGGCTGCCTTTATAGTAGGCTCCTTAGAGAAATGCACTCGGCCTTGGGGGTCCGCCGAATTTGGCTGCCTGGGGCACATTCTGGAGGCAAAGTTGGTTTTCTGTGGCCCCACGGGCCAGGCCTTGTTACTGCTGGCCTCTTGGGCCAGACTGGCTCCCTGAGGGAGAGCCCTTGCCTGGGGGAGGGGAGCAGTTAACTACAGGCTTCGCAAGGTGTGTCCTTCCCCAGAGACCACTTCTTTTGGACTCAAGGCCTCTTCTGTCCCATGCCTTCTCCCTCCCTAAAGGGAAGATGTGCAGTTAAAAAAAATACCAATCACAGGAGTACAAAGCCACTGAAATCAGCGCTAAATCTATCAAAGCAAATCATAGGCCTTGACAGCTGAGAAGTATTATTTGTTTTTTTCTTCCCAGATTTCTACTGAGCCTGGTGTTTCAAGCATATGTCTCGGGAAGAAGAGACCCATATAAAGGCAATTACAACTGGCGAATGATTAATGTTGGGTCTGACATTTTTATGTGTCAAATATGTTTAACTGCATTAACCTTTGCAGAATTTACATCCATGTTCTGAGATCTATCTCGAACAGCATCTGAAATATCTGCAATCTGCCTTCACTTAAATCTTATTTACATTTATTTTATTACAGTATAAATGGGGTTTTAAAGTCTGAATAGAGTTTTTTACCCCTTTCTGTAGGTCTTGCTGGCACTGTGGGAAGTCGGAGGGCAGCAGGGTTCTTTGCTGATTGCAAACAGAGTCCCCAGCACCAGTCTGGGGACCCCAAAGACAGAGGGAGCAGGTGCTGATTCTTCCGGCTCCTGCCTGGGATCTAAGCACTCGGGGGAGGGCACATCCCAGCCTGAAGCACAGAGGCAGAGGAATTTTATGGCAGACGGGCAACTTTTAGTGCTCACATGTTACAGAAACACACTTCCACAGCCTCAGTTTAGAAAAGCGACTAAGTGGTTCCCGCCTGTGGTGTTCTTCCAGGCCGGCCCAGCTCCGTGCTCTGCAGAAACCCTGTGTCCCAGATGTCTGCCAGTGACCACGCTCCTCAGGGGCACTCACACCCAGGGCACAGAGACTCACTGCTGCTGCTGCTGCTGCGGTGGCCCCAATGTGGCAGCTCCACGGCTCCTGAGCTTCACTCCACTGAAGTCTGGTGGCAGCAGACAGACTCCGGTGGAATGAAGGACAAGAGAACACGTGGATTGTCCAGGGACAGTCTTCTCAGGGGCTGCTCTGAGTGGCAACCAGGCCCCAGCACGCGGGCCTGGGCTCTGGCCAAGGCCTTCAGGGCCTCCAATCACAGCCTTGGAGAAGCTGAGGACCTGGACGATTGTACTCCTTCCGAAGGGTCACATCCTCCAGGGCCTGCGGGGAGCCCAGCCCCAAGACGCCCCAGCCCCTGGGTCACAGAGAGGCTTTGTGGAGAGGTGTGGAGGGGGCTGTGGAGCCAGGCACTCTGGGCCGTTTCACACCACAAAGCAGCTGCCCCCCAGGTGCGCCTGTGTCCTCCTTGTGCTGGCTGCCTGCCCCCGTGTGAGGGCCCAGGTAGCACCGTGCAGGCCTGTGTGCCAGCGAGGGACCAGGAAGCAAGCGGTGGGCAAGGAGCTGAGGCCGGTCCTGGGGGTGGACAGGATGGGGAGGTTTACTAGGACAGCAGCCCCCAGCAGCCCGGTGTCCTTCCACAAGTCTGCCTGGAAGTGGCACGACTGCTTCTCCCCTGGGCATGGGGATGGGGACTGAGGAGAGACAGGGAGCATCCAGCCTGGCTTCCAGAGCCTGAGCCCAGCAAGGAGGACACAAACCCTCAGAGGGCTCTGACCTCTTAAAAAAGTACCCGCCAGCCCTCAGAAGAGGCCCTGCACCCTGGCTGCTTCCCTGCCCACCATGTTCAGACATGCCCAAGGCTCAGTGTAAGCCCCATAAAAGGCTGCTCTCAGCACCAACATGCAGACTGGGTGGGTGCAGGCCGATCCACCTTGTTGTTTGGAATCTTTGCTTCCTGGGGCTTGTTCTGACCTGAAGCAGGGAGGGAGAACCTATCTACCTGCACAGCTCCTCCTCCCACTGCCAGCACCAGGGCCTGGGGCCTCACTGAGAAGGCCCTTAAACAAAGGCCTGGAGTCTCCAGGTGCTGCTGAGCCACTGTCTTCATTCTGGACGTGAGGATCTTGTCAGGGTGAACGCAGGGGTTGTCAAGGGCCAGAGATCTGGGCGCCGAGAGGAAGAAGTTCAGTTCGTCCTCTCCTGCTCGGCCTTCTGTGGAATACTCAGCGTTCCCAACTGGGAGAGAAGCGTGCCCTGCTTGGGAGTGGCCTAGCCTGCATAATCTCCCTGCCCTGCCTGGGACCCACTGCTTGGTCAACAGGAGGAAGGAGGCCTGCCTGTTGGCTCTGATAAACAACGGCAGGGAGGGGGCAATGATAGGTCTGCTTCCCCTTCTGTTTGTATTTCAGTTCAACTTGCAAAGCAAGAAGGCCACTTCTCACCGACACACACATACGGTGTGGGTTTCCTGGCTTCCTCACCTCCGTGAGCAGAGCCCGGGCGCATGTGGCCCTTCCCCTGCAGGCCACGTGCTCCGGCCGTGCACGTGGCCCTGACGGCAGCAAGCTCAGGAGAGGCGGCAGACCCTGCCCGCAGCCTTGCCCCACCCTACAGACCTGTGGGTGCCACCGGCGGACACAGGAGAGGCACGTGGCAGCCCTGCAGCACTCCCCACCCTCTGAGCCGCCCGCCCCCACGGGGTGTAAGGCTCTTCTCCCGCCACAGCCTCTGACTTGGCCGTGCATGGGGGCCAGTGGGGCTGCTGAACACACCACGCACGCGTTGGGCTACACTGTGGCTGCTCTCTGCCCCCAGCCGCCTGGGAACCGTGCCTCATGTTGTCCGAATCCAACCAACTTGGATGTGAGAACCAAAGAATGGCAGCAGCTCCTGAATTCCCTGTGAGAGCTGCACCCTGCACCCCAGCACTGAAAGCCGCCCCTGTTCCTCCAGGGCAGGAACTCTCCCGAAACCAGACAGAAGTATGACCCTGGTTCTGGTCTGCTCAGCACGCACCTCACCATGCCAATGCCCATTATTACCACAGTTCACCGCTGGGGTCCTGGGCATCCTCAGGACGACACGGAGTGGCTGGGATTTGGTTAAAATGCCGCAGGTTCAGCTACTTTAGCCTCAAAGGAAGTTGTTGGCTGACTTCCGGTGAAAAGGGCTCTTTCCACTCTTCTTTTCCGGCCCGTGAGCCTCCTGATCTAGGTACTTGGCTCTCGTTTGACAAAGCCCCCAAATCCAGAGATTTCAGACTCACCTGTACGTACGCATCTCTGAACCTCCAGATATCAGGGCCCAGCTTTGCGTTTGATGTGAAATAAGAAATCGCTTTTTGTTGTAGTGATAATGCGGAGCAGAGACATGGCTAAAGAGTCATGCACGTGAGAGGAACAGAAGAATGTCCAGGCTTGGAGGGGTCTGTCGCTGTCCTGAGGAGGCCTGAGGAGGGAGAGAGACCAGCACACTTACTGTACGGGGTGCCCTGCACAGGCCTTTGGGGTCAGCAGCGGCTCCTGGGGACCCCAGGGCAGGTCCTGAGCAGTGCGGTTCTCCCTCCGAGGAAGGAGGACAGGAAAGCAGGGGCAAGTGGCGTAGAGGAGAGGAGCTAAAGGCAGCTGGGAAGGAAGCACGAGGAGCACGGCCGGGGTTTAGTTGAGTTTTTAGAGGCAAGGTTGGCGACAGACAATAAAAGAAACAAACTGGTTTTTCCTCAGGAGGGAGAAGAGGGAGCAGCCCATTCAAGGAGGTGGTGCTAGTTTCACTCTTTATTTATGCACCTCGCAGGGCAGCTTCTGGTTACCTGCCCAGTCCAGCCAATGGAGAGAGGCCTGGTGCAGGCTCCGCCCCGCAGAGCCGCACCCCTGGGGGCCTGGATGGTGCACACTGCCCACACCCTCCAATTTTCCTGGAAACACAGGGAAAAGGAGGGCAGGGCTCGTTGTCACCCCAAGATGGGGCAGACGCTGCAGGTCACTTGAGCTCGCACCTGAAGGCTTTGGGCTCAGAAACCTGGGGCGGAGGGAAGGCAATGTATGAGTCTTCTCTTGGCTCGGCGAGGCTGGTTTCGTGCATGTGTGTGTGCTGTGTGTCCTCTCACACACGCCTACGTGGGCAGCAGGACCCAGCGTCCCTCCGAGCTAGCCTTGCTCTGCACACTGAGTTTCAGGAGTGGACCGAGGTCTGCGGGTGCCGGCTGAGGCTGGACCTGGCTCCTGGCACAGAGTGAATGTGCTTCTTTCCTTGTGGGAAACAAGGGATTTCAAGACCCGAGGGGTTTTAAGCCTGTGTCCCCTCTGCTCCTTAGGGTTGGGGAGAGGCTGCCAGTGAGAGGGGAGTTGGGGAGAGACAGGGAATCAGGTCAGGTCAGCCAAAACCCTCGACTGCCTCACCCGGCCACTCAGCTCCCCCCGCCCTGCCCTCTGGCCTCCTCGCCTGTCCTCTGCCACCCGAGGGCCCCTGGAGGGCAGCGACCGGCCTAGGAGCCTGCCTACTGCCCTCGAGGCGAATCCCTGTGCTGTGCTAAAAGAGGACCAGGATCCCCACGGCAGGAGGGAAGTAAGGGCCAGGCCTGTCCCACCGCCTCACAGCACATCTCCGCCTGCTAAAGCTTTGCAGACCAGCTGGCCAGTAGCTCGCGCCATGCAGGCTGGGGACAGAGGCAGGGAGGGCGCTTTCCTGCCTACAGCACGCAGCCCGTGTGGGGTCAAGATCGGCCGGGTCTGCTGCCCCCATCAGGCTCTGTCCCCAGCCAGGATGGCCGGCTCCACTGGGCCTGGCATGCACCGTTCAGCTCCGCTGTCTCTCCCAGGTCCCGGCCCCTTTCAGTACTGAGGAGAGAGAAGCGAGGGGAGCCACAGGCACCTCCTGAGCCCGCGCCTCCCTGCCCTGCCTCTCCACTTTGGCGCTGCAGTGTCCATTCGGCCATTCGCTCTCTCATTCACTTCCTGGCTGTCCCTCAGGCTGACCAGGCCAGGAGCCCCGTCCTGCCATCCCCAGATGCAGCCATAGCGGCTGGCGTGACGGGGCTGGAGCAAAAGCAGGGATGGCCCTGAAAGGCGAGCGAGGCGCCCTGAGCTGAAGAGGCACGGTGCCTGGGCAGAAGGCTCTGAGATGAGGCTGCCCAAGGGTAGGGCAGGCTGGAGTATGCTGGCTGGGTCCGTGGCCTCCTTTGTGGCAGGGAACCCTTGGAGCAGGGAACGAGTGGCCGGAAGCCTGTGGGCTCAGAGGCAGTCAGCCCACTCTGAAGTGAGTGCCTCATGCTAAGAAGGCCGGGAAGGGCCAAAGACGCCCTGCAGGCCCTCCTCCTCCCTCCGGGCTTCAGGACCTCCCCCTGTGTGCAGGTGAAGGGGCCACTGCTCCACCTGACCAGAGGAAAGGCCAGGCATCCAGCAGGCCACGGCCCCTGTGTTCCCCGAGGGGTTGGCGGGCGCGGACATTGGGTCCCTCCCTCCCGGCCCGGCTGGGCCCAGTCTTCGGCTCTGAGGCCTGGGCTGTCTCAGGTGACCCTCCCTCCCTCGTTGCAAGTCCCACCCCGCTGGGAGAGGCCCCTGCCGGGCTGTGGGCCCAGGATCCATTTGTGCTGGGCCCGGCATGGGCGCTTGGGGACCCTGGGAGAGGAAGCTGGGACCTGGGGCTTGGCCTGGAGGGCCCCTCGGCTGCCTGTGGGTGTGAGCAGAGGCCTTCTCCCTGGGGCGCTTCCCAGTTAGGCTTTGGACCCTCAGGTGGGCCTGCGAGTTCTGCCACTGGCAAGGTTCTGCCCTGGGGCCCAGAAGGAACCACACAAGGTCACGGGGGAGATGGGGTTAGTGGCAGCAGAGGTAGAAAAGCACAACACAGAAATTAGGGTTGGAGCCTATGCTGGGCTTCAAGGGACTACATGGTGTGATATGGCTGCTAAATGTGCACCTGTCTGGTTGCATTATTAGAAACATGGACAGAAAATGAGGGAGGTGATGGCCCTGCTCCCTACCGAGCCTACCGCTGGCTATTAGATGCAGAGAGACTATCACCCCGAAAAGTGAAACCTGACAGTGAGGAAAAGCAAGCAGCTAGGAGAAGCG